AAAGAGCTAAGGAAAAAGGTGGGGGTGGGGTGGTGAAATCAGCCAAACTGCTGTATTTGCATGCTACTAATTCTTTCTTTGGTTCCCTTCTCTTCAGCATGGSTAAGCTCTTCCGTGGCCATCAGCCCCTGCAGCTGGGTGGAGTTAAGAGGACTTTGCCTTACCGTGACTCACAAAGGCACTTCAGAGGGTTCGTGGGCTGCATACGCAAYGTCATTGTTGATAGCAAGGTAGGGSCACTAAGTTTTGAGTTTACTGCTGATCACTGTAGGCACCTGATGTGATGGCTTTCTTCAACCTTTTCCAGGTCTATGATTTAGAGCACCCTGCAGAGTCCCTGAACAGTGTTCCTGGCTGTGCCTTTACAGATGAAATGTGTCAGAGTGGTGGGATGGCCTCCTGTGGCACCCATGGCAAGTGCATTAGTGGCTGGGATTTCTTTCACTGTGACTGTTCCCCAGGATATGCTGGATCAGCATGTGAAAAAGGTACTGCAAGTTCTGGGGAGAAATTTATGTGAGGATCTGTGGGAACAGCATCAGATATAACATTCTAGTGTTCAAAATCGTACTGCCATGATTTTGAACTGAGAAGAATAATAAGACTCTGGAAATGATTCCGATCTGCAAAGATTCAAAGATCCTTCTAACTCTTGTTAAATAAAGATAACATCACAGATGAGGGCTGCATTGAGAGCTGCTTTATTTTGCAGGAAGGGAGATGGTCAGACAGCTCATTTTGTCCTTTTTATCACCATCTCATTTCTCGGCAGTGAGAAGTGAAATATTCTSCATTGTGCTTTTTTCCTCTGCTCATGCTGATCACAAAATGAAGTTTAATGAACATGTGGGCATAACCCTCTTGTTACCTTCAAGCCCCATTTTCCATTTGTAAAATGACGATAATTGCATTTGCATCTGTCATTAGAATGAATTACAAGTTATGCAATGCCCCTGGACCACAGCAGTGGGTGTATGTGGGGGCAGATTACCAGGCTGTTATCCTGTACAAAAYCAGCATGAAACATGTATCAGAGAACAAAAGCTTCCCTTGGTGAATAATGAAAACCTCAGAGATGTGGTMAGAAAGTGGAAAATTTTAGCACCATTCAAAAAGTAAGGAAATAAAATAATTTAACTCCTAGTAGCTCACACTCGTGTTCAGAATACAGGGGATATACACTTGAAGTTGGCTCTGTCCCCTCTATCTTAAAACCTTCATCAGCCAAGCAGAAATGATGAGTGACAATTTGTTGAGACTTTACCTCCCTCTAGGTTGATCATAACAGTCTGTAAGTGCACCAGTGTCCCATAACTCTGGGGGCTTTTGTTGGAAGAGAATTATCGCTCTCAGTCCTGTAGCTTGAGTGAGCTACAGGTGAAGATGAGCAGCTGGAAAGGAGTGYTTGTAAGGTGGTGTTGGATCAATGTGTTGGAATTAATGAACAGGACAGTGGTGCATTACACGTATCCTTTCAGCTCCATGCGCTTACTTTTCCTTCTTGTATACAGAACAATAATACCCTACACAGGCAGCCAAACCCTCTCTTYTTTCTCCATCTGCAACACAGGACTWAAAATGTGTGACAGTCATTTGCTCAGTGGAAGCTGTGTCTCTCCAATGAGGGGGAGGATTGTAACTGGCATGGTCCAGGCCTGGAGCATTCACTGTTGAAGATGTTTATAATGAACCACAGAATTGCTTAATACAGTTCAGCTATTTGTAGTATGTTTTCCAGACAGAGGATACTGGTTTATAAACATCTGCCTGGATTCAAATCTTACTTTGTTTTGCATTATTTTGAGATGCTGGTTCACAAACCCAGCTGCCGTAATAGTTCTACCCCTCATTAATATGGGACAAACCAAGAGCTCAGAAAGTAATTGCTCAAAATCCCTAAGTCATATCCTGATGTAACAGAAAAACTTTGATTGGTACCAACTTCTTCTGATATGTTGGGCTGCAAAATGCTGGTGTGCAGCTGGTGCTTTATGAATGGCTGTGACATGCTCAGAGCAAGGAGCAGACAGCAGGTGACAGGAGTCACTGAAGTGTCCCAGGAAAACCCACGCCTGCCCATCAACAGCTGCAGAGATAGTGAACAAGAGAGAACYGGGTTAGGAAGAATAATGTGAGGGSGRAAAAAGCTAGAGGAGAAAAGAAAACATGCTTCAATAAGGGAAAGAGAGAAGACAGTGAGAGGAAAAGGGAGTGCAGAAAGTWTCTCTTGATCACTTGATATTTCATGTTCTGGGAACCAAACTAAATACCCCAGGGTGAGCAGGGTACTCTTTGGAAGTTTACTTGCATGACACAGACCTCAAATGAGCTGTTAGTGACCCAGCATCCTTTTGGTCTGTTAACTAACTTGAACCATCTCTTTATTTTGTGAAAAGAAACTTCTATTTTTCAATTAAGCTTGGCCCAAAACAGATCTAGGATTGCTRTCAGACTGAAAAAGSTGACTTCTCTGCAAGASCATCAGGACCTGGATAGTTTAGTGSTGTTTGATTTCCACAGAAGTGTGCARTGCAACTTGATCAAACTCTCTGATGGACCTTGGATTCCTCAAAGTGATAGGGAAACAATTAATTTCAGCACATTATCYCTAGTTAAAATCTTAAACATTTACTTAATCTCCCATTGTAATTAAAACCCCCCTGTGCCTTCCCTGTGGCTTTCTCTTGTGCCAACTGAAATGGGAAGTAAAGCACATATTTTCTAACCATGGGCATTTTAACTACTAAAAGAAACATATGATTCTCTTTCTTTTTCTTGTTTGGTTGGGTTCTGGGGAGATTGTTTGTTTTTTCTGTTTTGTTTTTTTTCAGATTAACACAAGCTAATTTGCTGGAAAACATATTTCAGAGGTTTTTCTAAATTATTTGGGCACAGTGTAGGAATGATTGGGTAGAACATACAGCTTTCAACAGGCAGACTGCTAGAGATACTATCTAATTGGCTCTTTCATGCCTAAATTTGGGATCCTTGATTCATTGGTTTTCAATTAATGCCCTTCGAAGCAGGGCAGAGGTTGCTTTCCATGRTGTTTCATTATATTGCCAAAATTCCTCTGACATTTAGAGCTAGTAAATTCTCAAAGAGCAGAAATCTGAGAGATAAGCCATTTCTGAGATTTTCACTTTGATTTTGTGTGCTGTGTTTAGTTCTTCCGGAATGGGCTTTTGGAAGGGACAGCTGGATCCATTAYGAGCCAAGAAGCATCCTCAGCACTCGCAGCACTCGGATCCAGCTGATGGTGCGCACCCGGATCTCCCACAGCACCCTTCTCAGCTTGGCCTCTGCAGATGGGAACGGACACCTCCGGCTGGAGGTGAGCACGGCTCTTCTGTTGGAGGGCTCCTAATTTGCTGTCAAGTGCCATAGTAAGAGAAAAAGATGCAGTTTCTGATTAAGGACACCTGTTCCATAATGTAATGAAGAGCAAGAATTTTCCATRTGAGGGTAGCAACTCTCATTTGTGTTGTCTTTCTCAGTATTACTCTCTCGTGGCATAAATTCTAGTTTTTTCACTGCCTGCAAAATGCCCATGTGATACATTTCGGTGAGGAAGATTGTTATGTCCTGTTTTTCCCCTTTTCTTCTATCTGTCCTTGTCTGTAAAACTTRTAAATGTCTAAAACATTTTTGTTGCTGTTGAAAAAAGCTGTCTGGACTRTATTAGCTAGAGGGAGGCTAGTTATTCTAATTGAAATAGGAGGGTTAGCTGGGAAGATTTAGAGGTAAATATCAGTAGGGAGAAGACTGATTGAAGACTTCTAACTTCCTTAGTTCATGTGAGTTAGAAGAGTGGCCTGTAAAGAAAAAGAGTTGGTAATTCCTGCATCTGCAGTTTTCTTGTGGTAGMTTTTATCTGGGAATAGAGCACTTAAAAACAAGAGTGCCATTTCCATTTTAAAAACTCACATCCATTTCTTGAGGCAAGACTGTGTAATAACATTTAGAAGTTCATTTCTGTWATTAAAGTCTTTATCATTTTCCTCTAGGTGGTTGAGGGTTTCTTTAGYGTTAACTTCAGTTTGGGGGACAAAAATCACTCTTTGAGGATGAGGACATTACGTATAAACAATGGCCAGTGGGTTCTTCTGACCATGGAGCGCTACAACAATGAATTCACCCTGCGTGTTAATGGTGGTGGAGGTGATCAAGAAGTCACCTCTGTCTTGGGTATGAATAGATGGTTTGAAATGGATTGGGCAAGCATCGTGCTCGGAAACCGCCTTCCCAGTCATTCAGAGAGTGATTTCCAAGGTAAGTGATGGGATGGATTCCTAAAATGCCTGAAAGTAGCATCTTTGAGTGTATTAGAGAGTCTAAATAGGTAACAATTCCCATATAGACTACTATGCCCCTCCTTTACTAGGGAATTCAATGTTCAACTATTTGCCATTGTATCTGGTTCTAGTGAAGAAGTGAGATTTCCTGAAAATATTGAAAAATAGCATTTCAGTTTTTTGTTTCATAGAATCAGAGAATGGGCTGGAAGAGATCTTAAAGATTGTCTAGCTCCAAATGCCCTGTCTTGGGCAGGGACACTTCCACTAGATCATTCCAAAGGCCTCAAGCAGTGTACTGATGGTGTGATCTTCACTCCTGTTTTGCCTTGGAAGGGTTTAAGGAACAGACAAAGCAACTCCTGGCAGGAGGAGAAAGAATTGCAAGGCAATTTGTGGTTCTTTCTCCATTTCCTGGGGGGGAGTACTGAGATTTTGAGATTGTGACTCAACAAGAAGACAGCTTTTTCCATTCTGTTGCTTCTTATTCAGCCTGACTTTTAAGAGTGTACCTTAAATTTAGATTAATTTAGTAGAGTTTTTCTGGTTCTTAGTATAGTTCTWCTGAACTGTGGTATTGGTACAACACCAATACTGGAGAACTATTTTAAATCTGGCCAGACTGACCAGAGCACAATAGACACATATTCTGTAGTGCAGACAATCTCCTTCTAAAATAAAATGGATAAGGACTATGAGGATATTTTTAATGATGTTTTAAGTTTTCTACAATGCTGTAAGTTCTCCTGCTTATGTGCTGGGGGCAAGGCTTGAAGTGGGGAAGTAGCTAACTGAATGCACTTCTCTGTGTTCTTCTCTGCTTTGATGCAGGTTGTATGCGTGATGTCCAGCTGGACGGTCAGCCGCTCCTCGTGGAAGGAAGAAGCACAGAGTATGGATTAATTCTGAGGAGACAAGGAGTCACCATGGGATGCCATTCCAGTGCCTGCAGCAGCCAGCCCTGTTACAGCCCCTTYCTCTGTGTAGACCTGTGGAGAAAATATGAATGCCGGTACATGAAGCTTTTGTTTTCATCTGGGGATGGCTGGGAGGCTCCTTCTTTCCAACTTTGACCAAGCAACTGGCTTCAAACAATGAAATTCCCTGTGGCTGCTGCCCAGAGAGGGTTATTCCAAAGAGAAATCCTTGTCTCCATGTCATCTCCTATCATGGACTAGACTTGCCTTTTTCTGCAAGTCTGATGTGTAATCTAATTACTCTGCCATTTTTTCCATGGCAAGAAGATCACAGGCCAGTGAGAAAGTGAGATGTCCTTTGWTAAAAGGTGGATTGCAAAAGCTTTGGTCTGTCCTCTGTATGARAATACTAATATATTCTTAGAGTGTGTGTATACACACAGATATATACATATATGTATATGTATATAAAAGATACATGTTTTTACACATATAGGTATACCAATATTGCAAATACAATACATATTTACATATATTTCCTGTAAAGAGGTAGAAATTAATCATAATTTGTATGAAACARTGAGACTTTCAAAGTTAGATTGTCACAAAACTGGATTCTAAAATTGGCTTCCCAAGGTCAGAGCCAAAGCCCAACAGCTGTTGTCCTACACAGTTAGTTTCTTGGAGAAGATCCACTTTTTAAAGAAAATTTTAAAAATATTTATTAAAATAGGCAAATCAAAATACAGTCATTTCTGTTAAAAAAGCCTCCTCCCAGGACTGGGAGGAGGAGCCACTTTAATTCTTGGAATTCAGACACTATTTGGCACTTCTGAAGTCTGTGATTCTTTGTTAGAAGAGGCTGTGAGATGGTTTTAAGTGTGCCTTGGGACAGTCCTTTCTTTAAGCTGCTTGTGAGAGAACAATATGAAGTCTTGTCAATTTTTTCAGTAGAATTTCTTCTTTGGCTTGCAGAAATAAGGTCTGTGACCTAACACTATAGCTCCAGGGCCTCTCCAATTACATGTGAGAATAGATCAATCCTAAAAGACAAGACGGGTCATTCTGAGGAGATCATGGCATTTCTCCSCAGGGTCCAAAGGAAGGTTACAAAGCTTATACCAAGTGCTTGCTAGCCCTTTTCCYACTGGTCTCAGCTATCCATTTTCTTTTGGGGCTTTGACCAGATGTAGAAAAAAGGCTGGTCAGAAGGAGATGGTCCCCTTACTAAGGAAGGAGTGAAGCTCTTCTGCGCGTCTTTTGGATCAGGAAACCAGATTGTGTGTCCACGTTATCATAAGTCTACTAGCTCACTAAGTTAGAATTTCCATGTATTTCAAACTTTCAATGTGGATTTGTGGTTTGTTTGAAAATAATTAAAATTTGCTTTAAAGAAACAGCAACAAACCACACAAAACAACACAGAGCTCCAGATACTTTGTTTGCCTATAAGTTATCATCTGCTTTGCTTGTTCAGGTGCCCAGCTGGGAAAGTAGAAGTGACTGACACCCTTACAGGGCTCAGACACTGCACCTCATCTGCTTGTGGACCCTGGACYTGTAGGAATGGGGGTACCTGTGTGGTTCAATCCCAAGACAAGACTATCTGCCAGTGCCCCGAAGGTTACAAGGGAAGATGGTGTGAAATTAGCCAGGTGAAGGCTGGAAGACCTGTTGGACTCAGCTCTGGCTCTATTCTGGCAATCAGCATGTGCCTCCTTGTCTTCCTAGGTAGGAGATCATGTACCTTTTYCCCTTATTTCTAATCTTGTATCTTGTTCCACTGAATTAAGCCTGCTTTACCTTTGRGTGTTGTGATCAGTGTTTCACCTGTTCTGGAGATCACTATTTGAAGATGCTAAGTGACAGACAACAGCACATAGTTGCAGTTTACTTGCTTTGATGCCAGTTCAAGCAAGTTTAGGGCTTTTCTATTMCAGAGTCACTTACTTTCAATCCTTCTTAAGTAAGAGTTTTCCATCTTTGTGTGCAACTCTGTGTACAGCCAGATGCATTTGAAACTCCTACCTGCCCTGAGCCCTTAGATTTGTAATAGGTAGGACCTRTAGCTGTATATGCTCTTCACATACTAGAAAGATATCTTCTAGAAAGTTTATTATCTAAACAGAGAAGYCTCACTAAGAGTGTGGGGCAAAGAGAGATGTTCACAGTGTGTCCATTTTCAGGTGCACTTTGGCTGAAAAGTTAGTAACACCATAAAMCAGTTCTTGTTGATAAATTGCACACACAGAATAGCAAAGATTCTATGATTATATTACACTTGTAACCTTCATTAAAACAGTGGTTTACTTACTTTGGGTATCTTATTTACTCAGGATTGGTGAAAGGCCAGAGATTGGCCAAAATGCCTTCTATTTAAATGGATTCCTTTAGGTAAGTAAAATACCCTTTTAATGAAGTTTATGATGTAATATACATAGATTATTCTTTACATCCATTAATTTTAGTTGTTTATATATTAACAATACTCATTTCTTACCTGCAAATTTAGCTGTCAAATTAAGAATTGATTTAATATCTCAGGAATCATATAACTACTTGTTTATCATGCTTCATACTTCATCATATGTAATATAACAAATATGTTCTTTATTTCTTCCAGCACTCTTGGTTTCCTACACAGTGTGGAGTCAGTGGGGAAGTTCAGGGTTTCGGAAAGGAGGAATTTACCACATTCCTGAAGAGCGTGAAAGCTGGGAGGATGTTAGAGAAAAYGTCTTCAATTATAATGAAGAAGGAGGTGGAGAACGTGACCAGGTATGGTGCAGCTTCAATCCAGTATTTGCAAAACCAACCTCTTCTCACTTTCCTTTCCTAGACCTTTTAGTTAACTTATTCTCATTATCAAATTGGCCTTTTTTTGTTTTTTAAACTTGAAGTTCCCTTAAGTGGGAGGCTTCTATTTCAACCCAGTCTGTATCTTTCATGATGCTGGCCACGTGTGGTCACTTTCAAGGGGGCTGCTCTGGACACATTGTTGCTTTGGCTGAAAACTAYCATTACACGGAAGGATTTGGTATTACCTGAACTTAGTCCTCYGAGTTAGGCATTCTCTTTTCTTCAGCTTGTAGAAAACTCACAGAATTCCGTATTATGTTGCCTTGTGTTGYAAAACATTTTTTGAATCTATTTCCTTTTGAGCTGTTTCTGTCTGATATTTGCATTCCTTTTGTTTCCAGAATGCTTACGATATAGATGAACTGAAGAAACCTCTCCGTAACATTCCCCACTCCTCCTCGCGAGCAGCTGCTCCACACTCCAGGACACCAACTGGCCCAAAGAGAGACTCACTCCCAAAACAWGCACATCAAAAACAATCAATATCAGCTGTTACCAGCATCCCAGACTTCAAGGAATACGTTTCTCAAATCMTACGGGATGCAGACAATGATCTAAAGAGTCTTCCAGCTGACACTATTCATTTTTACTGCTCGGAAGGGCAATGCTCTCTAGCAGGGAGCCTTAGTTCGTTAGATTCCATCAGTGGTGATGAAGACCTAAATTATGATTGCCTCCAGGAGTGGGGGTCAAAGTTTGAGAAACTTAAAGAACTCTATGTGGTCTCAAATGAAAATTTGTAGCCAGAGTTAAAGGAACTGGACACATTGTCATGACATATGGACACTACTTTTAAAAATACCCTTTTTTATATGTAAATTACATTAAGTAACTTCTGTGATGCAACTTTTTAGTTAAAATAGCATGATATACTCACTTTTCCCAGGAGTGACATTCTGAATGATCTTTTTTATATGCACTGTACAAAGTTRTTTCATTACTTAAGTGCAAAGACTTTTAAAGCATTAATTTTCTTAAAAACTTTGGAATGCAGGATATCTATAGCATAGTATTATRATATCCTTTTTTATTTGTGTAGACCACAGTGACTTACTAGAATTATCCTGGATGCAAGAACTTGAATTATTTTCTCCTTAGTATGAATATGAAACCTATCAGGTGGGTAACAAGGTGTTGGGCATTCTTTTTTTTTTTTTAAAGTGAATTAATTTTAGACTGTGAAATAATTATTACCAATGTTAAATATAAAACATTCTAAATTTCTGGTTTCTTGACAGCTTTTRTTGTATCCTCCTAAACTCTGCTCTTCCATGTCATGACATACACCACCTCACATGCTGCCCAAATCTGTGGGACTTTTTCTGTCCGCCCCTTTTTCTAATTACCTGTAATGGGGGGAAAACAGTAGAAAGATCCCATCTGTGAACATGACTTTGTGACAATTTTACATTCTCAAAGGCAGTTGTGAGACCTGGAAAAAGTTCCTTCTCTGTAAACTTTTATGTCCAACTTTGCTTTTCACATGGAATACTTCTTTGAAGTGTGAAGCTGGAAAATAGAAGRGCTGATGGCAGGTGTGAAGACAAGAAAGAAGGGCATCCAGGCAAAAGCTGGAACTCAATTCTTTCAATCAGGATAGTCATTGTGAAAACCGGGATCCTCTAAACAGAAAGCATGGGAAACCTAGCCTCTATTCCTTTGCCTCCTCCTACTCCCGTGCTCCAAAAAATGATTGGTTTTAGCATGGAAAAAGGGAATCAGAAGCTCCTGAAATCTGACATTGGCTTGAACACTCACRTTTGTGACCATGGGTAAATCACCTTGTTCTCTCCCTTTCTCTCTTAACCTCTCTGAAGTGGGGCAGCTCCCAATGCATGGGGTGATGTGTAGATATTAACAGATGCTTACAGAGTGCTTGTAAGCTCTGAAATGCCAAGGGTTTTTTAAATGTTTTCAGCTCAGTGGGGTTTTTTAATTACCATGACACTTGACATTTGTTTTTTATTATTGAAGTCTTGACACTTGTTTTGGTTTATATATAATGTTTTAAAATTAGATCTTTGATTACTCTTCAACATTTTCCTTGGCATAAAGAATGCAAATGTAAAATAGTTTTGTACCTAGAAGTAAGATTTTGATACTATTAGAACAAATAGTTTACATTGAAAATTGATTGAACAAAAATACCATGTAAACTGAATAAAACAAACTGCATTAATTTAATAAAATTATTTGTATCAAYGACACTAAATTAGCAATATTTATTAGAAAGATTTGGAGAACGAGTCAGCATGAGTCACTCCTTCATGCCAAAGCCTCACATATCTGGGCACTGATTATTCTTACAAAGTCATAAAAACCAAATATAGTGGGTATATTAACATATRGCTACATCTTGATTAATGTAAATTTTTCCTCCTTTCTCAAGATGTATGTGTAGTATGGTAAGAAACTACAACATTTCTTACACCAGGGGACATTACATATGTTGTTGCTGCAAATGAAAACTGCTGAASCATGGAACTTGAATAAGGTGACTTTTCAAAGTGTTGAATCCTTACAACATTTTCATGAAGGGCATATACATTTTTATTGCTCTTTATTAAGTTGCCTCTTCTGAGCTTGCTATCAAGCAAAGCATGGCATAAGTATTGGTAAACTGTCTCTTCCAAAAGAGACGAATATGAACAATGTGCCAAAAAACATCCCAACAAGCTATGATCTCCCCRAGGATTATTTTGTAATCCATATTCTGAAATGGAACATTTTATATATGGATGCATTAAACAATAACTCAGGAAAGCCGAAGCAGTAGTCAACTTTTTCTCTTAAATAAGTGAACACACAAAACAATATACATGACAGAAGATAAATTGCATTGAACTCAGGACATGTAATGGACTTCACAGAAGATGAGAAAGAAGAACTTTATCTCGTTGAGTCACTTATAACAAAATGCAGAATGCTTATAGCTGACAGCCATACATGACAGCCCCAGAAGTCACACAATTTGTCTGACAGCATTGTTCAAACACTTCTTGAACTGCCAGGCTTGGTGCTGTGACTACTTCCCTGGGGAGCCTGTTCCACTGTCCAACCATCCTCTGGATGAAAAACTTTTCTCTAGTACTGCCAACCTCCTGTGTAGCCTTTGTGAACTCTTCTCTTGGCAAAATGTTAGAGAAATTCAGCCAAATTACTGAAAWAGATAAAAACTTCTGCTAGTCATCCTGCTTCTCCCCAGGATATGAATGTTCGAAGAACAGGGATACCTGAAAAGCTTGAGAACCAGCTCCTGGCTAGTTAYGCTTGAGACAGTGGCATGGTCAGACATGAACTAKGCAAATAYTGGCACCTTAATAACAGTGGAAGTRGTTWGCACTGAAAAATAGTGCTTCAGCCACTTCATTCTTAAGAAGGACATGGAGATGCTGGAGCAAGTCCAGAGGAGAGCCATGAAGTTCGTAAGAGGACTGGAGCATCCCCACTACAAAGACAGGCTGAGAAAGYTGGAGCTGTTAAGCCTGGAGAAGAGAAGGTTGTGTGGAGACATCAYAGCAGCCTTTCAGAATCAGAAGGGAGCCTACAGTGGAGAAGGATTCTTTRTCAGGARCTGTAGTGATAGCATAAGGAGGAGTGTGCACAAAGGGAAAGAGGGRAAATTCAGGTTAAATAYTCGGAAAAATTCTTTACTGTGTGCAGAAAAGCCACACTGAAATGCCAGTGTCCACAAAGCAWACAGAGGAGTCCTGCAACTTYATTCGAATAGAGGGAGMGAGTCCACTAGGCCATTCCCCTGTGGGGTCTCTTTCGAAGTTTCAGAGGACACATCCTTCTTTTATCCTAAACTCCCGACCACATGTTGCTCTCTTCCCCTCCCCACTGGCTGACATACTAGGAAGTACTATGTTCTAGTACAGCCTTCCTGAACAATCTACCACACACTCCCCCTTGAACACGGAYCATTTTCTCCCGGAGTTTAGAAGTCCAGGCTATCTGGATTTTGCAACAGACTTTGCACAGACTCATTTCTCCTATTACCTTAAAGTTTAGGCGTTTAGAACCGCTTGGGTTCTGTAATGAACCCAGGTCGCTTGATGTTCCTAGAGACTCATTTCAAAGACAGAACACCMATTTCTCCTGAAGACCCTCACCCATCCAGTCATTTGTAAAGACATCTTTCCTGTCAGCTGTGAGGGGAGTGAGACAGTGGAACAGGTTGTCCAGGGAGGTTGTGGATGTCCCAACCGTGCAAGTGTTCAAGGCCAGGTTGGATGGGGCTCTGAGAACCTGGTCTGGTGGGAGGTGTCTCTGCCCATGGCAGGAGTGGCTGGGACTAGATGATCCTTAAGGTCCATTCCAACTCCTTAACGTTCTATGATTCCGTGATTTAAATCTGCCTCGTCATTTCTTTACCCTTTCATGAGACATTAGGGTGTATATGGGCAGGAGCATGGAGGATGAGCCATTTATCGGCCTGAGTGCTCCCTGCCGGGACAGGGCGGCGGTGGATGCGCAGGCGGAGGGACAGCTGCGGCGGGTGGCAGGGGATATGCACCGAACTAGTGATTTCGGAACGAAAAACGCCRATTCCGTAAGAGAGCCAGGCTGCTCCGCCGACACGCCCGTCCAGGTTGCGCGGGCAGGGCCCGGCCGCGGAACAGCAGTAGGCGCTGCCCCATGGGCGCCATTGCTGTGCGCGCTGCGGCGGGCGGGCCCTGCGCGGGGCCGCCTCTGAGGGGCGGGGCCGGCGGCCATCTTGTGCTGCTCTGGGTGCCCGTGGATGCTGAGGGCTTGTTTGTGGGGGTCTCTGTCCAGCGGCCGGCATGAGCGCGGAGGCGGCGGACCGGGAAGCCGCCACCTCCAGCCGGCCATGCACGCCACCGCAGACCTCGTGGTTCGAGTTTGTGCTGGAGGAGGCGCTGCTGGAGCAGCACCTGCAGAAGCCCTCTCCCGGTGCGTGCCCTGCTGGCCGCCGCCCTCTCTCGGCCTCGGGTTTGGCCCGGCCCCGCTCCCGGGCTTGTTCTGGGCAGGATCACTCGCGGGGGCTGTGAGGTGTCGGTTCGGTGGGCTCTGGTGCGGTGCTGGGGAGTGGGGAGCAGAGGGAGCCGGCCACTGCCCGGGGATGTGCGGCGGCATTTACTGCCGGCAATTGACGCGGTTTTTCTCGCTTCACATTATCTTTTCTATTTAATAGCTTAATTTCTCTGTCTTTCTTGTCTGGTAGATCGCTTCTTCTTTCGCATATGTGAATATTGTGAGCGGAAGCGTTTAAGTTGTTTATTTGTGCGGTGGGCAGTGCTGCTTGTCAATATCATTGCAGTTCGCAGCTGGTTTTCTTCCACTGGAGTCTTGTTAGTGCCAGGAGCTGAAGTCCTCCGAAAGGTTCAGTGCTGAAATTGCTCTTAGGACCTGGAATAAATAGAAATCTGGTCTGATGTATTRTAAGAAAGTGACCATATTTTAAAGTAGCTGATCTTTTGACGATCATAAGTGGTAGTCGAATTCTGTGAGGAGATGGAGGAAACAGGAAAACCTGGCCCAGTGTTGCCTCTACAAAAAGTGAATTTAAGCTAATCTAGCTTAGATCTTAGATTTTATACTGTATTTTGCACTTAATTAAGGAAATTAGTAATATTTGTTTTATGTTTCACAAAGTTCAGTGAGAGTATAATAGTTACGGTTTGGCCTCTCTTTTTAAAAGAGCTCACAGGTATTGGCTGTCTTATTGTGAGGGAGAGATTTGGATCCTTTTTTTTGTTGGTTTTTGTTTTGTTTTGTTTTGGTTTGGTTTTTTTTTAATCTATCTGCAAGTATTTTCTAAATGTATTCAGAAGTACCAGCAGTTGCTTGTAAATAAACTTTCAATGAAGAGGAGTATTTCAAGTGGATATCTAGTTTTTACAACAGCTCACAAGTGGTTTCATAGCAGCATTTGTTTTCAGTAAATGCCCATATTGAAATATAATTAATGAAAAATAATAAAAATAATTAGAAATGTGAGAGTGTGGTTACTATGGTCAAGTGAACTTTAAAGTTAAGCAAAGATATGTTAATAGTCTGATTTGCCTCAGCATATGCAGGRCACCATTTGGGACTAAAATCTCCCAGGTAACAATGTTAGCAGTATAAACACCAAGGATATGAAAACCCTGTTCATAACTGAAAAAAAAAAAATTAATTCTGGGCTTACAAAGAATTTGAGGAGTGGCTGTGTTATTTTGCAGATCCGCCACCTGTGCAGCTGATTGTTCAATTCTTGGAACAAGCTTCAAAACCATCAGTGAATGAGCAGAACCAAGTCCAGCCACCACCTGATAACAAAAGAAACCGSATTTTAAAACTTCTTGCTCTCAAAGTTGCTGCTCATCTGAAGTGGGATTTGGATGTATTAGAAAAAAGGTATAGTCTGTACACCTTCATACTGAATTTATTAAATTGAAGTGGCTTGAGATATTTATTTAAAAAAATGGAAATCTGTTTTGCTTGCTTTTCTGACAGTCTTCCTTGTCTCAAGTATAGTYTTGGGTATGACAATAGAAACCAAGTTTGGTTTCAGCTGTAAGTTAGGAAAGGGTTTTGTTAATATCAGCGTRTCTGAACAAATCAACACGGTTTAGAGGAAAAATAGCATGTCTTAGACAWTAAGATATGTACATGTAAACTGAATTAAGGTGAATTGGAGATTATGTTTTCTTCAGTGACAAAACTAGCATAAGTTTCCTCATTTTGCCATGTCTTGCTCCAGTTTTGTTGATGTCAAGAACTCCATATATCTGTGAATTAGGTTACTGAAATGACTGTGGTTGAAATAAGCAAACCGCACCTTTGCATCTTCCCTTTGGAAATTTCAGCTGAAGAATGGTCTGATGAGCTATTACAGTGGGGAACTGCTTCACTTTGGCAGTGCTATGCACATTAGACAGCTGCACTTCACAGAATCACAGAATGGGGCAGGTTGGAACAGATCACAGAGGGTCATCTGGTCCAATCTCCCTGCTCAAGCAGGGTC